ATATCCAATTATGAGTGAGTGAATTAATTGAGTTTAGTTATTTAGCTTAGAAAGAATTTCTTTTATTTTTGTTATTATTGGCAGTAATCAGATAAAGCTGTTTTTTTATCTTATTCACCTGATATCTTACTCTTGCTCAAAGATTATTTTGAAAATGTTGATTAAATAAAATTGTATTATTGCATTTCCAGTCCTTTTGTTTTCTATTTTTTATTCTATTTTATCATTTTGTTTCAGAGTTGTGATTTTTAAGGAAATTAAATAATAATTTTCTAAAATATAACATGCACATACTTTTTTTGATCATTGTATTGTTGATTATCATTCACGTCACATCGCTTCGGAATAGAAACCAGCTTAATTTACACTATGTTGTGTATTGTGCTTAAATTATGGATTGTATTCATCATTTCGGTCCATATAAATAATTATATGGCACCTACCTATATATCGCAGTACTGCGAGTTGACAACCCTTACAAATATCCCAATTTAACCCTTAACCGTGTCAATTTACCCCGGACGCTGGGTAAATTGGGACGGCCATTATTTTACCGATTATTTCTTTAAAATTAATAATTAAAATTATGTAACGGTTTTTATCACCTAGGTACGTTCAAGACTCAACTTATTTCTTTGGTTGAACAGTGACTATTTAATTGGAACTATTTTAAAATTCAATCTGAAGGTCGATTTTGTCCCTATTTACCCCATTGTACGGTATGTAAAAAAATACTGCATTTATTTGTGAACGAAATAAATTTAAACGGAGGTTTTTTTTGTAGATAATTTTGATTTTTTCTTGCAAACCTGCCAACAAAACGTTTTGGAATTCGACTGACTTGTGGTGCGCTTGCGTATCTTTACATCTCTCTCGATCAGTCAAAAATTTAAGAAGTCGTCGACACTACGAAAAAAGTTTGAAACTTAAAGTTAGTTTATAAAGTTAGTTCTGTGTTATGAAACTCGTTTAATGGGTGTTTGTTTAATAAATAACGTGAGGTGAACGTGTTTATGACTTGAAAATGAAGTGTAATTTTGTTTTTAGTGTGTCTGTTTATAGTTTTGTGTAGGTGGCCACCTATGTATAGTGGTTTGACCGATGTGAAAGTGTTTTCGCATAAAATTCAGACCCCATTGTTCTTTCCTGGTAAATGTTGGGAAAAACACGTATGCTGCTTGCGTAAGCCGAAGTTTATTACAGAAATGTGTAACGAATAATACAAGTTTTCATCTGAATTTGGTATGTACTAATCGTGCACTTATCAAAATATTCTAAACCTGATAAGAAGCTCATTTACTGCCTTACATATTTCATGCATAGCCCGTATACGATACAATAAAAATCTGTATAGATGTGTTGTGATAGAACAAAACTTACGAAAATGTTTTGTAGGTGGATTCAAAACATAAAAACAAGTATCACTATTATTGTAGGTTTCAAGATAATAAAATTATATAATGACTGATTGGCCCAATAGTCTAGCGGTTTATGATTATTGTACACAATGGGCACTAGGTTCAACTCCCAGTCAGCTAGTTTTTTTGTTAAAGTTAATTATAAATTAACTTTGTATTCCCAGTCTGTGTATAAACACAGACTGGGAATTCTTGTCTCAAATATGTGATGTTTTCAGTTCCCATAACACAGCAAAAAATCCTAGCTCAGGGCCACTACTCTATAAAGTTTATCTTTTAATTACATGAATAGAGTAATACTGTTTGGATAGGAAATAATTTTATTTTGAGATAAAATATTTATTACTTCTAGTCTCATTTTCATTGAATGCAATCATTGTATAACATTGGATAACAGTCTTAATATAAATGATATATACCTAAGATTCCTACTCCTTATTATACAATTAAATCATTTTTGTATTTTTGAATGTAGAAAATAAAAAATGAATCCAAAATTGAACGCTACACTATGCATAAATGATATTTTGATGTAATTAATTAAATTGCAAATGTTCAAATGTAAATTATAGTAATGAGCTCACTGAAAACTTAAAATTAGCCAACCCCTTCACTCAACATACATATTACACACATTCATACAGTCCACTTATGTTGGATATATATCGAAGCTTGAAAGGCAAGTGACTGAGCGACAATTACTGATTTGTACATAAATGATATGCAATAACCATATACGATGCGCAAAAAAAATTTTTTTTACGTCTATTAAAATCATTTCAATCCTACAGCTACTAGCTAGATTCTACTACAGCTAGATTCGTTAAAATAAATTTTGTTTTCAGGTATTTCAACTATAAATTAGTCTACTGTAAAGTTCACGCATTGTCGCTTAGTCACGTTTGCCTTTCAAGCGTCGATATGTATACACGTTGGATGCAAGTGGCAACACACTGGTCACATTGGACATTAATTGGAGAGGTCTATGTTCAGCAGTAGACAGTGAAAAGCCTGAGATGATGATAAAGTCGACTCATAATTATTTATTTTCAATACATGGTGAAAATAAAAAAAACTAGAAACCTTGTTTTAAAAAAGTATAAAACATATACACATAGGAATAGACAAAACAAGACCTCATTGTATTAACAGTAAACAAATTGTGAAAATGCAAAGGCCTTCCTTTTTCTTAGAGGTAACTGAAGACAAGTGACATTTCTGAATCCTGAATTTTTAAATTAATCGGAAAAAAGTCAATTGCCTTGAAAAGCATGCTACATATCACACCTTTAGAATTGAAGTGGCTTAATTAATTTTATAAGAAAATGAGTTTTATACTTTGAATGACTTGTAAACATGTATCTATCAGCTGATAAAATTAAATAGTCTGTTTTAGTCTATAAAACGACAATGTACTCGTTTCATCTCTTTTAAATCAAGCATATTACCTTAAAGTATTAAAATTGAAAAACTTAAAAATAATAATTGTTCAATTACTATTTTGGAATTTACAAGATTTTTGGATTAAGCCACTTTGATTCTAAATGTGTGATATCCTTTCATTTAAGGTAAAACTACCATAACCATCCTATACTGAGTCATAGTATATTTCTGTGGAAAATTATTGGTGTGAAACTTAAAGAAAACATTTTCTTTCAGGCTAAGAAATTAATGAAAATGAATGTGCCATCACAAGAAAATGCTGGTTTATTATCCTCAGGTAAAAAAATTGAATTGTTACTTATCATTCTAAATTGTAACTACTACTACTACACTAAATTGTATAGTTATATAAGTGTAAGTAATATAAAATTTGCGTCAGAACAAAAACTGTCTGGCTGTGAAGAGAGATTAACAAAATTTAGATTAGTAGATATAAACGGAAGATTAGTGACAAACGGTTTCATTTTATAAATGGGCTTTAATAAAGATTATTTAGAAATAAGTCAAATAGAGCTTAATCTAATAAGCTGAAACCCAATTTCAGCCTTTTCTTTGATTATGTAGAGAAAACTTCTAAAAGAAATTGATTAAATAAACACTACTATGCAATTTGGCATGTTAAAGGCAGTGTAGTTTGAGAGTGGCTGCTGGTCTTCTTGAGAGTAAGTAGTTCAAGAACTCGAGCAGCTGAGCAAGCATCAAAATATCAGTGGTGGAGATGGTAGTTCTTAGTCACTACTGTTGAATCTGCAGTGACACAAATAAACACGTTTTGTATATTGTCAAACTCTGTTCATGTATTTTATTAGAGTGAAAATTTGTCACAAGCCAGACTGAAAAATGTATTTCTGATAAGAGAGAACCTGTTCTAAGAATTTATTACAACGCTGTGTGGAATATAATGAACACAACATGGTCCTTCACACAGTGGCACAGTTTTTTCAGCATTATACTAGTTAAAATGGTAATTAATACTGATCAAATGCTATTGAAGTGAATTGTTAAGTAAAGTCAATTTTAGACTCAATGTATTGAAAGCAATGGTCCAAAACAGTATGGCAAAATATTCTTTAAATGATTGTAGAACAATTGAATTTTAAACTGTATTTGTTATATCAAGAATTCTAATTGATGGGTTTATTAGCTGAGTATGGATTAAGAAAATGAGGTTAAAAATTTACATCTGCAATAAAATGAGTTTTTGTTGTAAATCCATTTACTGTACTTAATATAAGTTTTACAAAATAATTAAAGTTAAATTCTAAGATATTACATGGTAAAAGCTGTATTAGCTATGTATATTATTATATAACATTCACGAAAAATAAAGAAAATAACAATTTTTACACAATTATTTATCTTTTTGTGCAAGTTTGTTTTTCACAAAAAAAGCTTTAGTGTTGTCGAATAATTGAACAAATGATACAAGAATTGTAAGGAAATCAAACTTTGTGTGTTAAGCAGTATCTTGCATGTTTCCGTGCATATGTATGGTCAGCTGTAGAATGGCATGGGTACTAGGAGTATTATTATCTGTTTATAATTTAGCAGCGCTTTTCCTGTGAGCATCGTAAATTACGCGGAGAAAGAGACTATTAAACCAGTGTATTGCCATCATAGAAAATACACATAAATTTGTTATAGATAAGCAACTCGAGTACTCAACAAAAATGTTTACGGGCGTCAGCCACTAGATGGCTTCGTTTCTAATCGTTCCTGTAGATGGCGGTAACATATAACCTATTTTATTTTTAATGAAGAATTTTGTAAATTATTAGAAACCACAAATTGATAAAATTTAATCAATTTGTCGTTAACAAAGAAAGACTTGAATGATTTTTAATTTCTGTGTTTAGTCATACTATATTTAAATGCCTTAACTATAACAACATATAAGTTTTGGGGCATCCGCTACAAGATGTCGCTAGTTTCCACAAAAAATATTTGTCTTAAAGTATCGCAGTTTCAGGGTCCTCACTGCCATGGTCAGATGGCGTTCGCACCCTGCTTATTTATGCCGCGAATCATTAATGCGTTCCAGTTTTAAGGGTGGGATATCGGTAATACAATACAATTGAGCCTTTTTTTGTTTTCATGATCTCAATAATGAAACAAAAATGTAATCACTACATAGTATAAAACAAAGTCGCTTTCTCAGTCTCTATGTATGCTTAAATCTTTAAAACTACGCAACGGATTTTGATGCGTTTTTTTTTAATAGATAGAGTCATTGAAGAGGAAGGTTTATATGTATAATAACATCCATAAATAGTGGAGAATCTATAATAAATTACAGTTTCCGAAGCGAAGCGAGGGCGGTTCGCTAGTATAAGTATAAAATGAATATCTTATACCTTTACACGAGCAATTCTTGTATATTAATATATAGCCTGAATCTCGGAAACGGCTACAACGATTTTCATAAAATTTCGTATACAGGGGATTTCGGGGGCGATAAATCGATCTAGCTACGATTTATTTTCAGAAAATGTTGTTTTATTCGTGTTTTCAATAATCAACTCTTCCCGACATCTATTGGCGAATAATAATACTTTTTTTTTTTAAATTGAGTGCAACTAACCGCTTTAAAGACACAACAAGATGGCGTTATCAAAAAAAAAAACCAGCAAAGCTCGGTCATCATCTAGTAAATGTTGATGTGTCGGTGTTCAGTCAATATACCTTGAGCTTCCACTTCAAGTACAATTCAAGTTATTTATTCCGAATATGACGCTCGTGAAACCGCGGAAGATATCTATGGCCTTATTAATAAAACATTTTGTGGGCTATGAATAGTTGTAAGTACGTTTTATGTCTTGTTGTGTGTTTTTGCTTTGTTATTGAGCTCTTTTAAAGACACAATGGGCTATGTAAATAAGGATTAGTTACACCATTTTTAATAATGAAATTTTATTTTGTAAATGCTCTATTTTGTTTTTTAAAATAATAGTTTGGAAAAAAAGTACTAAATAATAAATAAATAAAATGACACAACAACACATCACTATTTACTAAAAAAATAGCCCACTGAGTTTCGTGTCGGATCTTCTCAGTGGGTCGCGATTCCGATCCGGTAGTAGATTCTTGCGAAGCACTGCCCTTGCCAGGGCTAGTGTTAGCAAATTCTTTCAGGTTGAGCCCGTGAGCTCACCTACCCGTCACTGCGTAGTTGGAATAGGCTACCAGCGAAGACATAGAAAAAAAAAGTGTTGACAAACGGAGAGAACAGTACTTATCTGGTTGTTATTTTTTGAATCTGTTTCATTTTTTGTATTGATTGCACTCCCCATTCGAACGTAGCTGGAATAGCCCCTCTACTATCAGCAGATACGTAGGGAAAGAAAATACCCTAAAGTTCCTTCATTAATGACTAGTAACCAAAATAAAAGCAAAACGGAAGTCATCTAACACAAACCAAAAAATGGTGTCTAACTTTGCTTCGCTGTGAAAATCTACTAAAATGGTACAGCCATTATCAAGTTTAGTGATACTCCGTCATGCGTATGGCAATTTATATTGACATAATACTGAAATAAAAAATTACCCTAAAGTTCATTAACGGCTAGTAAACCAGATAAAAGAAAACGGAAGTCCTTAAGCCAAAGCCAAAAATGGTCTCTAACTGTCTATTTATTTCTTCGTTGTGAAAATCAACTAAAATGGTCGAGACATTATAAAGTGATACTCTGTCATGCATATGGCAATTTATGTCATGTAATAGATATATAGATGAAACAAAACATACAAACGAATTCATTCATATCCATCCATCGTCAATTATAATAGGCTGCACATTCGAACTTTGTGACGACACCTGCTTCCGTCGAGACCGGTGTCGAGCCGGACGCGGTTCCCCTGTCATTATAGGGTTGTCAACCGCAACACAAAGAGTGTTTTTGTTGCCATAGGGTTGTCAACCGTAACACAAAGACTATAAGGGCTATTTTGTTGCTTAAATTAAAATAGAACGTGATGTTAACACATCTTTATCATGGCAGAATGACTTGTCAAGTTTTGCATGTGAACGTGTGGCTCTTCATATTCGGGTGAAATGATAACACCAGGATACTGAGTTACTCAGCGGGCTACTATTGCGATCCCCACTTCGATAAAGCGGCACGACACGAGAACCCTCTCATCGTGGCCGCCGGTAACTACATTCCCGATCCTGTGGGCAAAATGGAAAGCAGTCGACGTCGCCCCAAACACGTCATTTCGTATCCTCTCGATCCACTAACGGTGCTTTTAGGTACCTCAAGCACCGGCCATCGTTCTCGTCGAACCCGTCGCTGGCGACGAAGGGCTCGACGAGTAAATTAACCCTCAGACACAGCCCACTGAGTTTCTTGCCGGATCTTCTCAGTGGTTCGCGTTTCCGATCATGTGGTAGATTCTGCGAAGCACGGCTCTTGCTAGGGTTCGTGTTAGCAACGTCATCAGGTTTGAGCCCCGTGAGCTCATCTACTAGTTAAGGCGACGCTGATATAGGCTCTCAAGGCTATCAGCTTAGGTAGGAAAAAAAATTGCGATCCGATAGTAGATTGCGAAGCGACTGCCCTTAAGTTGACTACCCGTTCTATCGCTGAAAAGTCCTTCAAGCCAACAGTTATTCTCTCAACCCAAAAAAACCTACGAGTTTTAAATGCTGCAGGCTCACGCTGTACAAATGTAAGTAAAGAATAATTTGTGCTTGACGTAAGCTTAGCAAATAACTGCCATATGAAGTTCGGATGTACATATGTAGATGGCAGTATTATGTTAAAGAAAAATCTCCCAAAAATACTGGAACATTTAATTAGTTTTTCAACACTGAAACCAATGCAATTTTATTTATTTGTATACATTCTTAGATAATTTATAACTAGATGATGATCGAGCTTTGCTCGTTTTTCTTTTTCTTTTTTTATAACGCCATCTTGTTGTGTCTTTAAAGCAGTAAAAATAGTATTATTATTCGCCAAAAGATTTCGGGAAGAGTCATAAAGTTCATTATCGAGAAAGTTGATTATTGAAAACACGAATAAAACAACATTTTCTGAAAATAAATCGTAGCTAGATCGATTTATCGCCCCCGAAATCCCCTGTATACTAAATTTTATGAAAATCGTTGGAGCCGTTTCCGAGATTCAGATTATATATATATATACAAGAATTGCTCGTTTAAAGGTATAAGATATTCCTACGTAATAAAATATTCCGTAATGCGATTTAAATAATTTGCAACAGCGTATATCGAATGTTTCCAATTTGCACATACCATCTCGAAAACTCCCTATC